GTAGAGCTAAGTTATATGTTGATTTAATCGCGATTAAGGGAATTTGAAACCAAGGGCACAGCGAATTAGTGTGTTTTGGATCCTTGCTATCATGGCGGACACTGAATCCTCGCCATCACTGCGGACACCGAATCCTTATCTCAGGGTAAACGGGATTATCGTCATCATTGCGGCCACGGGGTCCTCACCATCACAGCGAACAAGGGATCCTCACCATCATGTCGGACACGGGATCCTTATCATCATTGCGGACATTGAATCCTTAGCACAGAGTAAACGGGATCATCGTCATCATTGCGGCCACGGGTCCTCACCATCATAGCGGACACGACATCCTCGTCATCATGGCAGACATGGGATCCTCGTCATCACGGCGGACATGGGATCCTCGTCATCACGGCGGACACTGGATCCTCTTCAGCGAGGTTGTTACGGGATCTTCATCAGAATCCCCCAAAATTCATACAACGCCCCTCGTTTCCCCCCCATTTCGTGATTGATCACATAGATTTGGGTACGTGTTCCGTAGTGACTCGCTAGTAAGGTAAAACGTAATATGTTTATAACGAACTAAAATTAGTGGTCCTGTTGAATTCGCTATAACCTTAGTTAACTGTACATAGCAAGGAGAAAATTATTAGCGGAACACAGTCACTCATAATTACATACTGAGCTTAAGACGAGCCTCAAAGCGGTGTGATACCTGAAATACATTTCTCAATATTTTGATATATTCCATAAAATGATGGAAGATATTCATTCCGTATTTTATAAGTGATGCATTTAGATAAAATTGATACAATTTAAATTTAATACAAAGGGATCAAAGCCTATCTTCCTTATAAATATATTATACCAGTTTCAAGTTTCAGTTTGGAGTCGGTGGTTTGAAGGGAAGTGTCCCTGTTCCATATTCCAACAAGACTATAGACTAACTCCGTGACAGATGATTGAGTGGACGTCACAATGCATGCCCAATCTCACGTTGCATGCATACTAAAGCGGCTGTTGTTTTCCTGCATGCACAAGTAAAGTCTGAGTAATCAACATCAGGGGAAGAATTGAGTGAGTTTAGTTTTACGCCGCACTCAGCAATATTCAAGCTACATGGCGGCGGTCTGTAAATAATCGAGTCTGGACCAGACAATCCAGTGATCAGCAGCATGCGCATCGATCTGTGCAATTGGGATACGATGACTTGTCAACCTAATCAGCGAGCCTGACCACCCGATCCCGTTAGTCACCCCTAACGACAAGCATGGGTTACTGAAGATCAGTTCTAACCCGGATCTTCACGGGTTTAAGGAAAGAAAGCTAAAACGTTGAGTTTATATGTACTTGATGCTTACGTCTGTGGTTCGGCGGACTGACATCGGGTTCTGTGATCAAATACAGACGGTGAAATGTGTCAGTTTTATCTGACAGGTTATACATTGTCATTGTTCATTGCGAAGAACTATTGAAAGTTAATATGCTGTTATAATTTTAATCCAGTGGTTAAATCTGAGGACAAGATTGAATCATTGAGCTTTGAACAACAACATGTCAGTATAATACCACGGCAGGTCAGTTTAACGGGGGAAGGAAGCCCGAAATAAATGCAGGTGTTAGACATTGACGCCAAAGGGCGAAAGAAAAAAACGAAAAACCAATAAACATATTCAGGAGGAATCATGGATTCGAACACCCGCTCATAATTGTTTAGCAGTCATAAGGGGAAGAAGACGTGATGGCCTCCAAAAAGTACCGACAGCCCAAGAGGCCTTGGATAAAGAAAGTGCTTTATGCAAAGCAAGTATCCTTATGGATGGTCTTTGATGATGAGTGAGTATGGTTTTACGCCGCTTTAAGCAATATTCCTGCAATATCATGGCGGGAGACACCTTTTATCGGCTTCACACATTGTACCTATGAGGGGAATCGAACCCGGGTCGTCGGCGGGATAAGCGAACCCTTTAACCACCTAGGCTACTCCACCGCCATTGTTTGATGAAGACCATCTTGGGCATGTGTTGCCATTGGTGTGCTAGCCACTGTCCGCGGTCCACGATGAGGATGGAGAGGTGCGGTCACAGTATAATCTGTAGTTCCGGAAGTTGACGCGTCTGGTGAAGCTTAAGACCACGCCATCACAATGACACCGATAGGTGCTCATCGACCAAACCTTGTCTGAACTGAGTCAGGCATTGTTCTCCTCCAGTATCATTTCATGTTAATCTTGAGCGAAATATTCAGGACGACTTGCCGTTGGATTTCATCCTTATACCCTTATAATTATTTCCAGTCCTATACATAGGTCGATACCGATACACCGGGGATCCCGTGACGAGGATCCCGTGTCCGCCGTGATGACGAGGATCCCATGTATGCCGTGATGACGAGGATCCCATGTCTGCCATGATGACGAGGATGTCGTGTCCGCTATGATGGTGAGGACCCGTGGCCGCAATGATGACGATCATCCCGTTTACTCTGTGATAAGGATTCACCAGCTGCACCCTGTATGGAACAAATTAAACCTCTCCCCTGAAATAAATATCTCCCCTTGCAAGTCATGTCCGTCAGAGTTTCAGCCCACCAGCAAATGATGTGGAGATATTTAAGCCGAAGTAATTCTTCTGTTCGGACTGCACATCCTGGTGATTGCAAAATATTATTTTTGTGCTAAAACATTGTATAGTTCAATATCTAATTTGTCTGTTCGTTCAATGTAGTCAGCAGAAACGTTGTATAAATCGTCCTAATGCTAATGTCGTTAACAGGTTTATAATCCTTTCAGTATGATGTTTGTTCTTCACCAAATGTTATGATCTCAGGTAATCAGAATCCGACGTTCATTTGTTAGGTAATATGAGCGTCTCTGATCCTGGCCATTACGAGATGACGCTCACATGTATTGTCTGGCCATGGATCAAATGCTAGGTAATGGTGAACCGTGTTGTCTCCGATGCCAGTGCCCACGGGATACATGAACAAGACCATGCATCACAAGAAAGGATGTGGACCGTATGAATGCTTTTAACAATGAGTCTGTCACATCTGCGATATCTTGTTACACTTAACCTCATTTTCTTGGAAAATGGTTTAAATTCCTTAAGGCTGTTCCCCCACATTAAGATAGCATAGTGTTATATAACTGAAATACAGTTCAGTGCGATGAACTTAGGCTCTCTGAGCTCCATCAGATGAAGAATGCTGAATGCACCTTGGTCATAAAATATTAACCTAAGCTGTCTCGGAGGTTGTGTGTCACTGTGTAGTAATCGAGAGAGACATGATGATACATGAATGTGCATTGCCTCAGAAATCGGACGGGGCGGTGGGGTAGCCTCGTGGTTGCTCGTCACGCCTAAGACTCAGGTTCGATTCCCCACATTGGTACAATTTGTTAAGCCCCTTTCTGATGTACCCCGCAATGATATTGCTGCAATATTGCTAAAAGTGGCGTAAAACTAAACTCAATCACTCAGAAATCAGACCCATGAACCACTGAACCGTATTCTCTCTCTCTCTCTCTCTCTCTCTCTCTCTCTCTCTCTCTCTCTCTCTCTCTCTCTCTCTCTCTCTCTCTCTCTCTCTCTCTCTCTCTCTCTCTCTCTCTCTCTCTCTCTCTCTCTCTCTCTCTCTCTCTCTCTCTCTCTCTCTCTCTCTCTCTCTCTCTCTCTCGTACTTTAGCAGCTCCTCAATCATTTGTAATTTTTGCATTTAAACAATTTGAATCGTAATCTGTATCCCTAGACATTGTAGATTATTTATGCCCATTTCATTTTCTTTCGAATTGTGCGTCTTCAAGGATGCTCTTCGATTAGATTCCCAGATCAACCCCTGAGGTTTCGTGTGTGTTTCTTTATTTTTCTTCAGGCTTTTCCTCGTCATTAATCAGCCAAGCCATGATATCACTGAAATGTTATTCGCAGGAAAGTCAAGCCCTTATGTAAAATAATATGAGCAAGGCGCGCAGGTAATATTCACCTTAAAGACATTAGGTTTTAGCAATTGATCCGAAACAAAGACGTCTTTTGCACGCCAAGTATCAGCCATCTAGATTTTGTATTTTCATTTGTAAACGTCCTGTCCCATTGCAATACATCTGATATAAATTGTTGTAAATATCTTGCAAATTACCCCAAACCGATATCGGAACATTATGTTTGGACACAGTGATGTCATCCACAGCCCTATGATGAAAATGCACGCTCAATCAAACTTATGCCTGTGACCCATATCTTCAGCCCTTGAAGATCCCGGGGGCGGTCGGGTAGCCTAATGGTTAAAGCGTTGGCCCGTCACGCCGAAGGCCCGGGTTCGAATCCCCACATGGGCACCATGTGTGACGCCCGTTTCTGGTGTCCCCCGCCGTGATATTGCTGGAATATTGCTAAAAGCGGCCTAAAACCAAACTCAGTCAGTCAGTCAGTTGAAGATCCCGGTTAGAACTGATCTTCAGCTACCCATGCTTACTACTGTAAGAGGCGACTATTGGGATCGGGTGATCAGGCTCGCTGACTTGGTTGACACATGTCATCGTATCCCAGTTGTGTAGATCGATGCTCATGATGTTGATCACTGGATTGTCTGGTCCAGACTCGACTATTTACAGACCGCCGCCATATAGCTGGAATAATACCCGTTGTCCCATTCAGAATAAGTCATCATGTAAAAAAAGGAAGCACTAAATATTTTACAATATGGTCAGTTTTGATTACTGGATAAAAATACATTTAAGAAACAAAAACATCTTACACAAAATCATCCAATCACAGCCGTCGAAAGGATCAATCTGCACTGAAGATTCCCTACGAAAAGTGCTTGCAAAACTACGGATTCTGATTTGGTGTAGTATAACCTTGACTGAAACCCTTTCGCAAATATGAAATTATATCCTACATCATCAGGAACTGATAAAAAGCCATATAACACCGATATCGTTCGGACTCTCTAGAGAGCTGATCACATGCTGTCCACCAATCATCTACGGGTTACTGATACTGTCCTCCTCACAACTGCATCCAGTGGTTATAAGCGGCAGTTGGTTCTGTCTCTGCGCGTCATTCCGCGAGGCTCGCTGCATAGTCGTATAAGGACGACTGTTGTAACGGTGGAAGGACGTTCACGCGCGACTGTTGGCGTTGTGAAACGACAGGACCAGGCTTCTTATTTGGAATTCTAAACTGGAAATTTATCCAAGACTTTGATTTATTCAACAAAGTCATGTCTACTACATGCCAAGCAAGTCAAAGGTAAGCATAATTATTTTTTACCCCTAAATCATACAGAAAGTGTGTTATAAAACCATTGAGTTTTGAAACAACAGTATGACTAATCAATTGATACTGTATTGTGACAAAACTTTGTGAAATTTAATTAAAATTGATTTTATAAGAAATCAAAAAAAAGCAAGAAATATCGCAGTGTTTCTACATATATGTCGTTGTATAGCCAAATGCATCCACCCTCTTCATTGGACGTGCTGGTTCCAGTGATGACCGCTTCTTCGATGCATTTTGTCGAACCCAAATAGTATAACAAATGTAACCCTACGTATTTATAAACAAGTTCTGGACACAGATAAGCTCCGTGGTGTTTCTACTATTGCACAGTGTGTGTACAGCGTGTGTACACTGGGTTGTCCACAGCGTAATTTGCTGGTTGCGTCAACCGACAATTGCTGTACCAACGGAATGGTATTGCAGAGCATGGTAATTATTATACTTCCTCGTAGATTAGGAATGTGACTTTCGCCATGACTGCGTACCCTTCAGTGACATTAAATATACATATAATAGGCGCATACGTAGTTAATACGATGATTGACGTAACCCTTCAGGTTACACTCGAGGTCATTGCCAGGCCAATTTTTTGCATTAATTCTACTGTCTGTCTAACACTGGGAATTAAGGAATTCCAAAGGTTTGTTAATTGACATAATAACAGTTAATCAAGAACACATAATTATGGCAGTTTCTTTACAGTGCACAGTTCGAAGCCTTTTAACATTGTAAATTAGTGAGGGGTGCGTGAGAATGGTTTTACGCCACTTTTAGCAATATTCCTGCAATATAACGGTTGGAGAAACCAGGAATGGGCTTCTCATGACATTGTAAATAGAGTTTACCATTCTTATAACTGCTTGTTATTAAATATTGTGTTATTTGACGCTGCTAGAAAAACCGATTAACTGTTAGGTAAGCCATCAACAGTCCAATCGCGGCATCCAACAGAACTATTATTCAGTTATCACGGTCAACCGACAAACTGGACGCTGACCATTGTTCAGGGCCAAGATTTTCGAAGCTCTCTTAGCGCTAAGATAGTCGTAAGTTAATGCTAATGTTAATGTATGGCACTTACGACTATCTTAGCGCTAAGGGAGCTTCGAAATTCTAGGCCCTGTTTGTCTGTTCGTTGCTTAACGCCGCACTATTCCAGCTATATGGGGGCGGTCTGTAAATAATCGAGTCTGGAGTGAGCGAGTTCAGTTTTACGCCGCTTTTAGCAATATTCCAGAAATATCACGGCGGGGGACACCAGAAATGGGCTTCACACGTTGTACCCATGTAGAGAATCGAACCCAGGTCTTCGGCGTGACGAGCGAACGCTTTAACCACTAAGCTACCTCACCGCCCCTCGAATCTGGACCAGACATTCCCGCATCATAAGCATCACGAGCTTCAATCTACGAATTTGGTATACGATGACATGTGTTAACCAAGAGAATAGCTATGTAACAATGTTCTCGCTGCAAGGTTGTCAAGAAGTGCCTACCTAAACCCATACGTTCACGTCCGAGTGCTTCTAACAGTTCACGGACCATAAATATATTGTCTTAAAACTTAAGAAGAATATTACCCGTATTTTGTCAATGAAATACCGATTCAAGATGTTATTGGCACACTGTCCATGAGCAATAATGTAAGCTCATTGACCATGCACAGACAATTTTATTGGTAACGCTGTATGAATTACAACGACACCTTCGATTGACAATTTTCTATCAACTATTTGTGCCTTCATGGAACATCAAACGTTTACTACTACTACTACTACTACTACTACTACTACTACTACTACTACTACTACTACTACTACTACCACCACCACCAAGACCACCACCACCACCACGGAGATCCGGGTTAGAATTGGTCTTCAGCAACCCTTGTTAGGTGACTAACGAAACCGGGTGGTCAGACTCACTGACCTAGTTAACACATGTCATCGTGTCCACTAAATTGATGGTTCACTTTCTACAGGCGATCTTAATTCCTATACAATTGTAAATCTAGTATTCCCTGCATGTCTAAGACTGCTTCCTGGGTTCGAGACCGAATATCATAAACAGTGTTTCTTACGAACATTCCATACGTATATGTAGTTCGTCTCTTCCGATAATCATCTATATAATTCCACAGGCCACTGTGTCCTCCAAGACCGTTCTGTCCTCTCGTGACATTACTAAACTTACAGAATAAGTGATTTTCTAACCTTTTGCTAGTAGTGCTCTTAGAGCATATCTTACATTTACAGTCCAGAGTACTAGTTCTACTTTCTGAGCCTCCTCAATCTTAACCACAGACTGACGGATATGTGAATCACTTACATTAATGTACTTATCCCGTTCCATCAGTCGGTACTGCGAACTCTCAACAGAATAATCGGATACCATTTTCGTAAAAAATCCTATCTGGTCAAGCCATCAACTTGACCTAAACCAGGACATACTTTTGACTTAAACCAGGTCAACCTCAGAAGATCCTCGAAAGTCGGTTATGATGTTGAGCCATCCCTTAAAGACGACGTTCATGTAATCTGCTGTCGCTGTAGAGGACGTTGTCGTGTCACCGATGACTGTCAAGATCCCTGTGGTCCTAATTGCCGACCACCAGGATCAATAGAGGGGAGCTGGTCACCGAGCCTTTTATTTGTTGAGACCGACTAAAGAGATCCACGTCCGTTACACCACCTTACACAACCCAGACTTCCGAGTCCAGACTTGGGCTCACAAACACCGATTGATCAGTCTCGAGTTCCAGCTGCTGGGAATAAACCAAATAAATCAATTGAAAACGTTTTTCGATACCGATTAATTTCAGAATAAGAACGTTCTTGATGACTCTTTCGTGGGAATGGATTGCTCTTTCTCATTTTTGTGGCAATCTTTGTTCCGGGAGATATGAATGTATTTACTTAAACGCTTCCTCTTTGGGCTTATATGTTTCCAGATATCCTAAGCTTGATGATATGGACCCAATAGTCTTTCTTAAACGCTCTTTGTCGTGCAAAGCTGTTTTAGTGCACCTTTTTGCAGTGTAGGTTCATACATCTTTAACCTTGAATAATATACTGTTTGCATGTTGCCGTGTCATTTAGCATAGAGCAATAGCTGCGTCCGTTATTTTTTATGTAGCATGTCACAGAGGTGGGTCAGATGGTTGTATGTTTTCTGTACAGCAGTATGGCTCTACAAAATATATCCACAATTTGACCAAGATGATGTACATGTAGCCGTGCACCAGAATACGAAAACGGAGTATTTGAGTGACGACCGAGCATGCTCTTTCTACCAAGACTTCAAGATCGTCATAAGGTTATTGGTCTTTTTTATCATGGTTAAACATTCCAGGATTCAGTAGGGCCGCTAAAAGACTTATTGGTAGACACTCGGAGTACATTTCCGGATTTGAAATGAACAACTGACCTGTCTTTGTGTTTAAGACGGGCGCCACATCTTCGCCAACACCTGGGGGTATCTCTGTTTGACAATGATTAACAGACTAATGCTTATGATATATTGGCTATAGCACAATGGACTCTTTTTCAGCTTAACTGTATATGACTATGGTTTGGTTCGTTTTGAGTGATATTTATGGAATCCTGGAAGGGACATTGTCGCGTTGTCGCCCTCTCAAATACAAGCAAAATGAGGCAAAATTAACCAAAACGCGACACGCGACATCGTGACAATGATACAAATTGGCGAAATGGCGAAATGTCGCGTTGTCGCGATGTCGCGACAATGTCCCTTCTCGGATTCCACAGATACTAGACTGAGTTAGCACAATGGTGGACATGCAATAATATATGCATCAAGATTAAGAGTAATATGCTTTGCAAAGGAGAATACTAGTATATAGATAGATATAGATCCGATATAGATCAAAAGTTTTTTCGTAAATACATTCAACCATCAAGATGTTGAATGGCGTGAGTTAGGCACCGACCTTCTGGTACTTTGGTGTGCTTGAAAATATAATCATCAATAAGATATTTGAAATACAATTTAATATCAATTTTCTGCAAAAGAAAACCTTAATTGGTGAGTTTAGTAAGAAGACCATACAAATAGTCTCCATACGAATTCCCAGAACAGTATATATCAACTTGCTTCCTATTCTTTTTTTTTTTTTTTTGGGGTCATGACATGAAATAATGTTTTTTCACACAAAGGAGTTACAAAGGACAAATGTTTGTTTTTTTACGGAGCGCTCAGCAATATTCCAGATACCTGATGGCCTTCAGTGAAGAATAGACTGTGAATGCTCGCTGACTGAACCACAATCCCACAATGCATCCGTGGAATGTCCCGTGACTAGTCAACTTCATCTGGATTTACTGTTCTAAATGTACGTTGGTAGTAGAAGTACGACGTTCACATTGCCCAGTGTGGTTTACGATAATCACAGACGAAACTAAAATAATATTGAGAAGATATTTAGCCCGTACGTAGACCGTATTCAAACTGTTTATCATTTGTTTTCACGGCAACGTGCGTCTTAACGTAGGTGGGTCAGAAACGTTAGATAGCCCTCAACGAGGATTGCCAATTTAGGTCACCGACGCCGTCTCTTTTCTGTTTGTTTTCTGCCTAGATTAATTCCTGTGTGTATTAAATTTGGCATCATATAATAGGAATACAGTTCGCTCTACCCCGATGTATAGTGTAATACAGTACACTTTTGCCCTAAACTATTGTAGGTAAATTACGAGGACGCTTGCGTCAGAGTGCTTTAACGTTATAATAGTTCAGGACAAAAGGTTCTTTACTACACTATACACGGGGATAGAGCAAACTGTGTTTTTTTATTATTATTATTATTATTATTATTATTATTATTATTATTAAAAGTGTTGTCTAATATATTCAAAACTACAAGAAGTAAGAATACAGGAATACAACAGGTTCCTGTTTGTGGTGGACACGAAGACACAGCATTCAGACTCATACAGACATATAGATTTGGTA